AATAATTGCGAATTAGACCAAAGCAGCACACACTTCCTTACACAATACATTAGTCAAGATGCACTCAATATGATGTACGCTTGCATGATATCCTATGTACAAAAATAGGATCCTACTCTAAAAATCTATAAAGTGCAACTACTTGAAGAAAGCATTACAAAAGAGCAGTGAATGATAATGGTTTGTTAATGACTGCTGATCATGAAATCTACTATTTCAAAATCAATGAGTATCATCTAATTAAAATCTTGTCTTTCTCACTTAACCAAATCCTATAGATTCGTAGGAGAAATGGTATTTTTAACATGTAATATGTGAAGTGGTAGAGTAGTGTCAAATAAAAGCAAATGTCTGGCATTTGATCTGACTTTTATTTCATATGCAGGGTTCACTGCAGAGATTACAAGTAACAAAGAGGTGACATGATGGCATGGTCAATTCCTGCTATATATTAACAAAGATTTCTTAATTAAGAAATCTGAGTGGGACTTCTTCCGATAACCAAAAGTATGTCATGCACACCATGCCGACTCCATGGTACCATGCTCTGAAAATAGATTGAGTCGCAGTGTTCCTGTGAGTTGGCGTCGTTAGGAAATCCTGTTAAGAAATAGAGCAAAATTGACCCTGTGTCTCAGAACTGCAATTAAAACCACATCCTACACTGCAACATGAGAAGTATGTTATTGCAATTTCCAAATTCCAGCAGGTGACAATATGGTTGAGTTATTTGCAACTGTCTCCTGAATGCTTAATAATTTATTATAACCTCTTGCAAACTCATCTTTAGTAGTCTTTTTACATCTCCTTGCCGGGGCAGGTTGGCTGAAGACTCACCCACAGGTGATGGAGCAGGTCATGCGAGGGACATGTAGCAGCCGATGAAATCATCATCTTCGATGATTGTCACATCACATACCACATTTCTCCTCCCTCCCCAATACGTTTCTTATTTTAGTTTTGTACATAATAATAATCCTTGCATTTGATAAAGTGTCGGGAAGACATCTCACAGCGTAAGGTCAGGAAAAGTGTAGTGGCTGTGTATTTTGTAGGTGAATGAGGCAACCTATTTACACACTGTTAGTCAGGGCACCTGGAGAAACTCCTTTCTCTTTAAGTGGTCCTATGGAATCTTTCACGTTCCACCTGAACAGTCAGACGGGATCTTGGCTTAATAAATGTAATATTCAATGCATCGTAGTTATGTTAAAATTATGGAGACTGTTGATACAAGGTCTTGATATATACTGTGTTGCACTGCAGAGAGGTCTAATGCATTATTTCAGTGGCCAGCCAGTGTCAATGATATTGGTGTTGGAGGCTTAAATACATTTTAATCAAAGTGTACTGCAATTCCATATCTTAAACTTTTGAAGTCAGTTTGCACATAGGGCTTGCCAATAAAGATCCCTCGCCACTCCCCCAAACAAACTAACACATTCTTATCATTTTGATTTAAATTTAAGAGTATGGAAGGCAAATACTAATCCTTGCTGTGATTGCAAAGTGACGCTTGTGATTTCACTTGTAATTTGGATTGTCGAACCAGTGAACAATTGTAATAGTAATATCAAACAAACACAACTATATTACCACAATCTCATCAAGTAATGGTACAGAATCCAGGCAAAGTCGATTACCTTATAAAAATAACAAAAGGAAAACTGCTTGCGCAAAACTGTTAGGAGATAGTCAATGTTTTTGAATGCATTTAAAGTAACTCATTTGCTTTGCAATGCCCAAGGACCACAATTCATCCAGACAGCTTAAAGAGTGGTGTGTGAATGATTGAAATGATGGACCTAGCTCTTATTATATGGGTGGTTAGTTAAAGATACATTTCTTCGATGCATTACACTATCTATTCAGGCAGCACATGGAAAGGTCAAGACTGCAAATGACATGCAATAGAGTTATAAATCAGAGAATTAATACATAAAATGAATTGTCTGCTTTTATAAAATGATTGAAGAGCTATTTGTCTTTTTCCTTTGAGACTCAAACAGTTGGGCTAAACTGTAAACACTCTTTTCTAAATCTTGTTGAACAAAATATTTGATTTTTACAACTCAGTAAGATATCATTTCTCTAATTTTAAGGATATCTACATATTTTACCATTGTTAACAAACTGAAATAGTTTTTCAAATACTAAATAGACTTTGTTGCTTCCTGTTTAGTCATATTTTCAATGTTATCTGTAAACGTTATGTTACTTATAGTTGAAAAGATAGAACATTTCTTAACTGATGTGAATTGTATAATACAATTATCCACACACAGTAGAGGCAGAAACACCATGTCAAAGATATCATCTAAATTTGAACATCAACAAAATGCAATATGTATTGTATTATTGAAACACTCACTTATCTCTGGAGCAAAATACCAGTGGATGTAGACTGCTGGCTGTTCATGGAGCATAAATATGTGTACAGAGGCTTAATGAATGAGCCAGGCTAGTTTTGTCACATTCTTGGCTATCAATATCATAACTCAAAGTTTTCATCATCTCCCTTTGCGCACTTTAACATTTCTTTGTACAAATCAACATGGAGCCATCAACTGGAAAAGCTTGCCAGGCAGTGCTCTCAATGGCAAGCCATGCAATTTTAGCTCATAGACTCCAGCAGTAGTCTTGGATCCCAAGCCTTGGATCTTGCCAACCTGTGCCTAGTACTTTGTGGAATTAGGTAAGCAATATGCATCCTTCCAGGAAGAGTGCGCATTCCATTCCTACAATCTATCTCTGGAATTTCCATGTGTCGGTGGGATGCATGGAATTCTCAGCTGGGTTTGGAAACTCTTAAGCAGGTTTCCCCGTATGTCAGACACCCGACTGACCAAGAAAAATAGAACCGAAAGCCAAGCAAGGATTGTAAAGTGCAATATCCCAAAATGTAGGCAAGCACACTGACTCGCGGGAGCAAACTACATAAGAAAAGAGTAAAGATAGAGAGTAAATACCATCTGAAATACTGGACACACAATAGGAATTGAAGAACAAATTGGGAGTCAACGTGAAATAGCACAAAAAAGAACTGTGGAATCATTTATGTAGATTGTAATGTATAATTTTTCCTCCAGGAAATGAAACCCTTTTTTTTGTTTTGCAAATGAGGAGCAATATTTTCAACCAGTCACAAAATTAATAAAAGAACTTGTGGAGATTAAAGCCTGAATATTTGCCAAGAAGCTTGTAACTGGGAATTCAGAGGTCAAATGAGATTCACTGATAAGGTTTCTTAGCAACAAATTAATAAAATCCATGATAGGCTGTAAAAGATGCTGATAACTTGAAAGAGATTAAAAAGAATGAGATGGGAAAAGGAAATGTGGGTCAATTGGAAAAAATATGATGAAAGTAATTTTCCAGTTTCACCAGAGAGGAAAACATAAACTTGCCTGAATGTACTGAGTCCAAAATTAATTAGTTTCACTACACGTGATAAACGTAAAGAGACAGTTCTAGCCAAATCCTAGACAAAAGGAGAACTAAACGTTTTATAACCAGTTATTATGAATTTTCTGTAGTTAGCAGCATTACTCTGAAGCACTTTCAGACATTTTGATAATAATAATAATCCTCACATTTGATATAGCGCCTTATCATGTCTTCGAGACGTCTCAAAGCGCTTCACAGAATACACTGTAAAGTGAATTGACTGTATATTATGTGGACAAACTACAGTGTGATGTTATAGTGGCCATATCAAATGGAAAGATTATCATTAGTTGTTATTGGTCTGATGTCAGGGCAGTCCCTGGCTTCATAATATAGTGTAAGATCAACAGTTGAGTGATAGCTCGTACAAGATCAAATCATTTCTTTTCCCCTGAGCAGTGGATATGTGAAACAGACACCTGGCCAAAAAAATGTTAAGCTCTTTCAAAACAGAAAATTTCTGCTTCCGAAGAACAATTGAGGTTTTTATATTCTGATACTAAGTGTGTTGGGATTTTGTCAAAAAACATAGCTGCCATTGATATCACAATAGCAAGTGGGACGTGATCCAGGCATTTAAAATGATGAGAGGCAATAAATAGATTGTACATCATTTTGCACCAGTAAACATTGTCCATGTGCTTTATGTTCTCAACTTCCACCAGGGGCAAGTTAGAGAGACATTTTTGTTGTTGTTGGAGACTATGTAGGATGAGCTCCATCCTAAAGTTAGTTATTACACCTAAGTTTTATTTAAAAGCATATATTCCTTTTGCTGCAACGTGGCAGGTTTTTGTTTCGGTGGCAGAACCTGTTGGGGCTGTGATTGACAGCCTGAAGCACTTGTCAGTTGATGCATGATGATATCCTTGCTAAAAACATTGCAGTAAATCATTGGGAAACAACTCTGTTCTATGCATTTTTATGATTTTTTTGATGTTTTACAGCAGAATTATAAGGGTATTAATAGCCTAGTATATTATGTATAATTTATTATATACTTACTGACCAATAAACAGATTATTGGTTTAATTAGCTCGGAATCCATATAACTCATGTATTCCTAATTACATTTTTAATGGTAACTTAAAATTAAATCTGCTGGTTATGTTTAATTAAAGGATATTTACTTTTTTTTTAAATATGCATGTAATGAAAAATGGAGACTGTTGAGGCCAATAACGGAAATATAATTCCTTGAGAGTTCCAGGAACTGGCGGAAAGATTCATTAGGTTAATGTCTAACTTAGTTGACAAACACTTTTGCAGTGTTGCAGGAAACTATAGTCAGTATGCACTTTATTTTGTAATACTTATGAGTAGACTTATCAGATCATACAGTGCGATGTTAAAACTATCAATATAACAAAATACTTCTGCTTATCCAGGGTGACCTAAAAGTCGTGATACCATCACAATGTCACAATGATTTTTTTTTAGATAATATTGTAGCTGAAAAATAAGACTTTTTGGTCACCCTGTACAATACGACAAAGGAAAATAAGAATCACAGAGCAGATTTATTGACCTACAAAGATGACAAAATCCAATAATTTTCTAATAATATTCCAATATTTATTGATAATTACAAGCTATTTGACAACAGATGTTTAAGGGAGACGGTAGGATTCAGATATTTGGATGGTCTGAAGGACACATATGGATTTAAATATGGATAAAAGTAAGTTAATGACAGAAAACAATATACAGGCATCCTTGACCATGGCAAAAATCGAAAAGGAATCAAATCTGATTAATTAACATTCACTAGATATACATTCAGTGGGGAACTTTGTTCAGAAATACCACGACACAGGACTTTCTTCTCTAAATTCCACTATCTTCCAAGATCCCGTAGTTCTATCTGGAATCTGTCCTCAGTGATAAAACCACAAATCAGAATCCCTGACTTGGGGGGGAATTGGAGGAGAGAATATTGGTTGTGATATGATAATTAGCACATACATAGTGGTATCACCAGTCGTCGTATCACATACCTCATTCTTTCTTCCAATGTTCCCGGCACCAGCATTGTGTCACCTCTGGCATGTAACTTTCCAGAGTTATTTGCGCCTGTAGCTTTAATGGTCAGACAGGATGTTCACAGATCTTTAATCTTCTTGGAAGTTTTAACCTATGACGACTCATCTCCCTTAGATCTGTATTGTGGTGATGGGGAGGTAGGACAGATATTGGACAAACTTGATAGACTGAATAAACTTCCCTGAATCTAAATGTTATGCTCTTTAATATCAATCATGTAGACATGTGTGGGCTCTAGCAAAACATTACTGATACTAAACATTATTTAACTTTATTTTTTGGCAGATGAATTCTTCAAGCATTTGGCCAATCATGTAAGCAAGTATCCTATAAGTCTTTCAGCCCTCACCACCCCCTTTCAACATGGAGGAAGAGAGGACAATCCAGAATAAATATAAAAGCACTAAAGTCAGAACGGATGCAGAAGGATTGAAAGCCTAAAGGTACAGATTTGTACATTTTCCATTCATTTCTAAAAGTAACATTTCAGTCATATATTTCAGTGGAGTGATAACTTCTGTTTGTGAGAAATGAATGAAGCAATATATGGCTCCTGCGCTGATTAAAGATCAAGGCCTTTAATCAAAGTGCGGGAGTGGTTTATTGCATTCACTCCTGACAAAAGGTTACCATTATTACATTACATTTCTGCAATTAAATATTTAATGTTATATTTGAAAGGTAGGTCAAGTTCAAAATTTGAAAGTCTGATACTCGGTTGTTAACACGTTGTAATGCCAGAGGGACCGCATTGCAACATGTGAGTTGGTGATGGTTAACTGGATCATTCACTGCCGCACATTACTTAATAAACGTTTCAATGCAAATACCTTACATTTCTAGAGTGTGAGGATTGAAAGCTGTAACATTCATTTGTCTGTTAGCTGTCTGTATGAACCCACATTACCGCTGGCTCCTATTAGGGATAAGGCAGGGAGGTGGAGTTAGAATAGATCAGCCATGATCTTATTGAATGGCGGGGCAGGCTAGAGGGGCCGAATGGCCTACTCCTGCTCCTAATTCTTATGTTCTTGTGTTCCTATTGCCAATAGTAAAAAGCAATCGCCAAGCCTCAGGAAAGAGGGGAAACTGTCATCACTACTGAGCTGCCGCACAATGTTCTGTATCATAGGTGGTGTCAGAGAGCAGGCCATGAGGAAGCTGGTTTCTCTTGTGCCCCTTTGACAACTTCAACACCCTGGCAGCATTTAACTGCAATGTACATTGGAATCCTACCAAGGACCGGACAAGACTCCAGCTAAGCATGGGGCAATAATATTACCAATTTCTTCTGTGGAAACCTTGTAAGAGACAAACTAGCTGCAAGGGCACGTTGTTCCCCTGCGTTGCAAAAAGAAAAACACAATAGACATTACGTACACAGGAGCTCTGCCCAGTGAATATTAACCTTCTCTTTTCTGCCAGTGTCGGGAAACATTCTGATTTTCCTGCTTTCCTTTGGAACCTTCTACTAAAACCTTTGCTGTCTCTCTCCCTGCGTTTAAAACCCTGCTTTAAAAATACATCTTCTTTGACAGTCTTTGATCAGCATCTTTAAATCTCTTATTTCCCCTCTTGGTGAACACCACCATATTTGAAAGGGCTTCGAGACATTCTTTTACATGAAAGACACTGTACAAATGTGAGTTGTTGTCACAGTGTTTCTACTGATGTAATTCCCAGTTAAATCTTCCCCGAGTCTCCCCCAGGCTAAATACTGCAAAACCGTAAAGTCAGTACCTATTAGCTTTTCACTTCTAACATTCGCAGAGTAAAATTTTCATTTAAAATGCTAAAAGGAACTAATTTTACTTCATAATACTTTCCAGGTGAAAAAACAAAAAAATGGCACATTTTGCTCTTTTGAAAAAGGATGGTGATTAATTCTAGTCATTTTAAAAAATATATTTTCAGCACATAATACACTTCTCATTTTTAATAAGGATCAACAGTGGGCTGCTTAGAAGTAAACGGAGAACAATCAACAGAACGGAAATGATCTCTTTGAAAACCTTAACTAACTGTGGTGTTAATTAAAACTTTTTTGTTTAAAATTTAAGCACCTGACATGCATTTATAATCCAAAGCTTCAACTCGTATCTCGTCTGACTGACCACACTTGCACTAACAATGAAAAGTTGTCCTCTAGTTATGAATTACCAGGGTGTCGACACACTTTTTTTAAACTGGAGCTCCTAGTGCACTCAAACGCCTTAATGCTTTGCATTTTTGCAGCCAACTAGGCTATCAAAATGAATTTTCCCTTTTTTCATGCCCGCTGACCTAAGGCTAATGAGATTTGTGTTTCGATTAGCTGAAGAACACAAATTAACTGATCAATGAAAAATGGCTGCACATTATTGTAATAATGTGGCACAGCTGCCATGGCCAGTTTAATACCGAAATCAATTTCATATGCTCAGGATGATTCTGTCGATGTTGTTGGCTGGGATCTTTGCATCTGTGTCCTCTCCGCAGACCCTGAATTTGACGTGGGAGTTGTACGGGATAACCACTGTGCTACAAACAGGCCTCCATAACCAGCCGTGACCCCCTCGCTTGTACATCTTGACAGTCACCTTTAGGAGAAAGCACAAGACTCATGGTTACGTGGGTTAGGCAATAGCTTGGGGGCAGGGGGGCAACTAGGGACTGGCCATAGACATCATTAGCCTTTTCTCCAGCCTCCCCTTTCACCTGAAAGGGCAACGGGCCAAAGCAAAGGTCAGCAAGCTGTGAAAGTGATGCTTGTTTTCTGAGTGAAAACTTAGCAGATATCAATGTTGCTGGGTCAAAGAGCTCTCAGGCCGTGTTTGCTGGGGGAAATTGTATCTTTGCGCGGCTACATTCAGCGCAGCTGTACATACAGTCCGCGCTGGGCAGGGAAAGATGGAAAGGCTCCACAGCAAGGCTCCTGAAAGCAGCTGGGTCCTTTGTGTCATGAGTTATGTTATTGACAAACCAGCTGAAAATGAAATGTTCCCCAAAGAACTTCCAGATGTGTTTTTTTACTAATGACTTCATTACAAGGAACATTAAAAGACAGAGTAAATGGAACACTAAAATTCAAATTGCAACAAAGCCTCATCTCGTGGCTTTGAGGGTGCGTTAACGGACCTGCAATTATAATAAATTTTAATCATTTATTTGTGCTATGATGATGATGATGAGGACGTGAACTGGATAGTCGACTGGTTGCTTAAAACACTATTGAAAACAATCAATTGGACACCAGGGATTGTGCATGGGTTATTTTTTCTTTTAAAAAAAGCAACAAAAATAGATCACAAACAGCAGATAATAATGGGAACCAAATACACGATGGATGTTAAACGGTTCCTTGATAATGAATCCGACTTGTGCTTCCCTATGGCGACCAAAGAATAATCCATCAAATAGACACCCAGGAACGCTGCTCTGAAAATAATTGCAATAATGTCAAGTGAATTGACACTGTATTTTGTGGTCGAAATGCGACAGCCAATTGCGTACAGCAGTGTCCCACAAATAGTCGTGGATTGAGTGACCAAATTATTATTTTTTTTTTGAAGGCATTATTACCCCCGGAAAAGCGATCTGCCAATCGATTAACAACTGGGTTCATACTTACTGATAGGTAAATAGAGATGTGTGGAGTAAGGAAACTTGCCCAATGGTTTGCCCTACCCGGGAATCAAACAGAGGTTGTCCTGCTTGCAAGGCGAGTGCTCTACCCACTCAGCTAACAGGACTCCACAATGGAGCAGAGTCCAATGGGTTAGCGTAATTCTGGTTTCCTTATAAAGGAAGAAATTTAAATTGAAACATATATGAAATTAACGCACCTTAGACCCCGAAACGTATCTTTTTACATTTTGAAAATTATACTCTAGTGCGGTCTCGAGTCTCCAAGATAGGTTTGTCAATAGACAGACTGTAGACTCTTGTTGCAATAATGTTCGCACATCAGTTCCCACATGTTCCCACAAGCGCTCTGGGATGCTACCCTGTGTGAGGGACGCTAATAATAATAATTTGGTCACTCGATCCACCACTGTTTGTGGGACACTGCTGTGCACAATTGTCTGCTGTGTTTCTACCACAAAAGGTTTTGTTGTAGTTTGTTGTACTAAAAAAATACTAAATTATCGGCAGTTTCATGGACTTAAATTTGTGAAAATAGAAATGATGGGAAATGACATTGCTGTTCTATCATACCAAGTTTATATTTTTCGTTACTTAAACAATATAAGTCAATATCACAGGGTGCAGGGATTCTTCCCACTCATTTCTGTTAACCCTGCAAGCCAAAGCCCCAGAAGCTAGGGTGTTCCTATCTGGACAAACAGCAGAAAGCTTTCCAGACAGTGCTCTCAATGGCGAGCTATACTGTTCTAGCTATTGAACTGCAGCATTGCCGACCCACACTCTGGGATCCCCAAACCTTGGGTCTCACCAACCTGTGCTAATACTATCCAGAATTAGGTAGCCAGAGTCCACCTCTCCAGGGAGAAAACACGCATTCCATTACAGATGCAGGGAAATTTCCGTGTGTAAGCGGCTAAGTTTCTTGGGTGCAAAACTCTCAGTCTGGTTTGGAAACTCTTCTTGATTTTTGCAAATCGACTGACCAAAACACATCTGATACTCAGTCCTTTTCCTTAAGGGCATCTGATACTTGTGTGATACCTATGATGCTAATAAATGTCAGATACTAGTGATACTTATTCCCTATAAAAGTGACTTCATCTAGAAAGGTAATCTCTGAATCCTGAATATGCTAAACCAAATGGAATGAAGAAGATGTTAATGGTTGAGGGGGAGGGGTGGTAGATAGAGAGATATTTATGGACAAAATACTACAATCCCTAGGGTTAAATGTACTTCACTCAATTTTTGGTTACTAAAAGACATGTGAGCTGTGATCTTTATTCTAGACTCAATGTTAACTAAAGTGAAAATGACATACAGACAGATGCCTCTATGTACACCCCAGAGATCCAGAGATCACTGAATGAGTTGCCCTATTCTCCGTTCACTAAATCTTTTAAAGAAGAAGTATTATTTGGAGGTCGGAGCTGTTTAAGATAATTTGTGCACTGAATTTTGTGTCAGAGAATATTCAACAGATACATTTTTTTTTGCCAATCGAACATTTATTTTAAAAGGGGATTCAATTTGGGCAATATTTGAAGTCCAACTAATGAAATTTGAATGAGCCATTACTTTTGGGGATACCCAGATATAAAATTGCACACAATGCATCAATCCATCTGCAGCACTGGGTCAATATTGATAACTTTGTGCTGCTAATTGCAAAATAGTTGTAACTTACCACAGAGAGACATCTCCAGAGAAAAAGAAACAACATATGTTGGCAAGCAAACACGTATCGATGTTGGTAAACTCTGCAGTTTTTTGTTTGCTTGGAGCACACATTACGGTAATCTAACTATTTAATTCATACTCTTGTTGCATAAATAAGAATAACCAAACCATGTTCATGGCTAACCATTAAATATCACTGTGTAATAATAATCCTATAATAATAATAATCCTTGCATTTGATATAGCGCTTTTCACGTCGGGAGGACGTCCCAAAGCGCTTCACAGAACACACTGTAAAGTGAATTGACTGTATATTTGTGGGCGAACGCGGCAGCCAAATGCGCACAGCAATGTCCCACAAACAGTCGTAGATTGAAAATGACCAATTTATTATTGTTTTTGGTTTTGGAGGGATTATTATTAGGCGTGTGGAGTAAGGAAACTTGCCCAAGGTTTCGCCCTGTGCCTGTAATGCTGAAATCACAATGTACCCCACAAAAAAAAAACACATTTAATATATTACAGCACACATTGTCAATTAAAAAATAATCATTAACAGAATACTCATTGCTCTTTGTCCATTTGTGCACCTTGCTATTTTAAGCAGGGCGAAACCCAAACCTGAGGTAAGTTTCCTTACTCCACACACGTCTGTTTATCTAACAGTAAGAAGGAACCTAGTTAATAGTTGGTTGGTGGAACTAATTTCCAGGGGTAATAATCCCTTAAAAAAAATTGGGTCACTCAATGCACGACTGTTTGCGCAATTGGCTGCCGTATTTCACCCAGAAAATATGCAGTCAATTCACTTTACAGTATCTTCTGTGAAACGCTTTGAGACATCTCAAAGATGTTATAAGGTGCTGTATCAAATGGAAGGATTATTATTAATAATAAATCTTGATATAATTAAGTCCCCTGTAGGAGATACACTTCATGTCAAAGGTGCTTTATTTTGGTTCAACGTCTGCTGTCTCAAGCATTTCAAGAGTGCTAAATAAATGCAAGTTGTATTGTAGTTGACTGTAATGTGAAATATGTTGGGCCAGTCTTAACCAGAAAACATTTCATGTTAAAAGAACTATGGTTCTCAACTGTTTCAGAATGGAAAATCTCTCCACTTTTCTGGTTGAAAGTGAAACAAGTGTGAATACGCAGACCTTTCAGTTTACTCATCTGTAGTTACTGTCATCCGTTAAGGGCAATCTGGATAAATCTTTAAATATTAAATTGAGTAGAGAAGACAAAATTGCGGACAAAAATAAAATTACAGAATATTTTCCAAGTATTATTTACTTACGTAACATTTAACTACTTTTCAGCCCCCTTCCTAGTTTGGATTTCTGAAATCCCCTTTTCTCTCATCTCCTCCAAATCCATCTAATTCACAGTCACTGTGAACTGACAGCTGCAACTCATAGTGCATCAGCAGCAAAACCAGTGAGGAAGGAACAAAGAAAATCAGTGAAGGAACATGAATGAAGGGAAGAGGGAGAATGTGAGAGATGTTAGATGTAAAAAGGGAAGAAAATTAAGAAGGAACGGGAAACGGAAAAACAGATGATCTTTCCCCTTTACTGTAATAATAATAATAATCCTTGCATTTGATATAGCGCTTTTCACGTCGGGAGGACGTCCCAAAGCGCTTCACAGAACACACTGTAAAGTGAATTGACTGTATATTTGTGAGCGAACGCGGCAGCCAATTGCGCACAGCAATGTCCCACAAACAGTCATAGATTGAAAATGACCAATTTATTATTGTTTATGGTTTGGAGGGATTATTATTAGGCTCTGTGTGGAGTAAGGAAACTTGCCCAAGGTTTCGCCCTCTGCCTGGAATTGAACTCAGGTCTCTCGCTTGCAAAGCGAGTGCTCTAACCACTGAGCTACAGGACTCCACTGTGTGGTCTCAGTTCTTTTCCTGTCACTGCTTTCAGAATAAAATAACACATGAAAGCAAAATACAAGTCGCAACATTTGCTCTGATGACAACGCAGTGTGACCATTTCTGCAATGTTGCTGTTCAATTATCAGCGAATTTAATATGATATTTAACAGCTTTAATTTTTTATGTTGAAAGTCACTGAAGTCTATATAATGAGATGAGAGATTGCAGAAGGCACTTAAGTACCTCACTCCATGGCTGTTTGTGGGACACTGCTGTGCGCAACTGGCTGCTGGGTTTCGCCCACAAAACGTAGTCAACTAACTTTACAGTGTATCCTGTGAAGCGCTTTGAGATGGCTCAATGATGTTATAAGGCGCTATA